GCACTTATTCAATTCTTGGTATTTCTCTTTGTGTTATGATTTTGCCGTTCCTTTAATCAAAGGATGGAAACCATTTCCCCAACTTTTGAATATAGGCTGGGTCTGACTCAGAGCAGGACCTGGGACATGTCAAAAGGATATGTTTTGCCAACTTCAAACTTTCACTCATGATCTTGGGGGCCTGAACTGTCATGTTAACAGGTTTGTCTGGGGAAGATGCCGATTAAACCCCGATGGAACCGTTCAGCTCCATGTTATCCTGCCCTCTGACAGCCAACTCACATAGTATCAACTTAACTTGCCCTAGCCCAGGAAAGTGACCCAGCTCACCCACAGTCTCATTCGAAATATTTACATGGCAATTATTCTAATTCATTAAATCCATGAGGTGATTTGTTTATTTTGGGGCCACATCCAGAGATGATCAGGAATTACTCCTGGCGGTGCTCAGGAGACTATATGGGATGTTGGAGATTGAACCAGGGTTGGCTACATGCAAAGGCAAGCATCCAATCGGCTGTACTAGCTCTCCAGTCCCTAAGAGGTGATTTTTAAAAATTCATTAGAAGTAGAAGTGAACAGGGGCTGGAACGATAGAACAGTGGGTAGGGTGTTTGCCTTGCACGTGGCCAACCTGGGTTTGATTCCCAGCATCCCATATGGTCCATATGGTCCCCTGAGCACTGTCAGGAGTAATTCCTGAGTGCAAAGCCAGGAGGAACCCCTGAGCATCGCCAGGTATGACCCAAAAAGCAAAAAAAAAAAAAAAAAGTAGAAGTGAACAACTAATAGTGTTATAACTGCATAATATCATGGATTTAAAAAAAGAAACTAATTAGGGGTAGGAAAGATCTTAGAGAGGGCAAAGAACTTACCTTGCATGCCCTCAACCCTGGCTTAATCTTTGGCATTGTATAAGGTCCTCTGAGCATTACCAGGGGTCAACCTGAGCACAGAACCAGGAATAACTCATGAGCACCTCTGGGTGTAGCTCTCAAATCCAATAAGTAACTAAATAAAGTATTGGATGGGCATATGGCTAGAATCAAAGTAGTCTAAAGTTGAAAAAAAAGTAAAGAGAAAGGTTTCTTTTTCTCATTTGCCAAGTAGTTCAGGGGTAAGCTATTTATAGCTGGTCTAGTTGCTCAAGGAATTTTTCAAGATCCCCACACTTCTGTCCATTTGTCTCTCTATTATCCCTAGTTAAGACCAATCATCCTTACATTCACAAAATGGCTGCTTACACATCCAGACATTGCTATTGTATTCCAGGCTTAATGGTGGTGAGATGCACTCTCTCTCTCTCTCTCTCTCTCTCTCTCTCTCTCTCTCTCTCTCTCTCTGTGTCTGTCAGTGTGTCTGTCTCTGTATCCCTGTCTCTGTCTCTGTCAGTCTAAAGATTAAGAAGTGGAATTTTACAGGGGCCAAGGCCCTGAGATAGAGTCTCCCAGTCCTGCCTCTGCAGTTGATTTGTCAGGGAACAAGTCTGCAGTGTTTGCTTCTTCATTCTACCCCCTTACTCTTCTTGTTTTAGGACCATACTAGTGGAGCTCAGGGGCTATTCCTGGCTCTATTCTCAAGAGTGGCCCCTGGCAGTGCTCAGGGGACCATATAAGGCGTTTGGGGATCCACCAAACTTTGCATGCACAACGGCATGCAAAGCAAGCGCCTTGACTCCTTTGCTCTCTCTCCCATCCCAAAGCAATCTGTGTGCCATCTTGAGACTCCATAGAGGCTGTAGAGGGAATGACCATGGCTCAAAGGGTCCAATGTAGTAGCTCTTTAGACCTTGCAACAAATACATCATTTAATGCTGATGCACGTGGAGTTTCAGAGAGAGAAAACATTGTGTGCACACACCATACACCCAGCAAGCAGCAGAATCCCAAACTAGATCTGCAGGCTCTTCTTTCCATTACACACACTTTCTCAAAAAGTGAAATAAGTGGATGTTTTTTATTTACTGCATTTTAAGCACACAAGTTCTAAACCAGTTTTTTTTTTTTAAGAGTAGGCTGGTGCTACCTGCAGTAAAAACACCTGGGGTGTTCACTACAAATGCACATTGCCCAAGGTGCCTTCCCACTAACCTAAGCAGATGCTCCAGGATGGAACACAGGAAGCTGCATTTTAAAAAGGCCCCTTACCTTCCCAAGAAGAAAAAAGAATTTTAAAAAAAGATAAAGAAAAAATAATTTTAAATATATATTTTTTACATTAAAAATACTACTCCTAGGAAATTAGGAGACACTTTAAACTTTGAGAACTGTGATTTCAAACTCCTAGTTTAAAAGGTTATTTAGGATCTGTTACATGGAAATTTTTTACAAATATCAGGAAAAATATTAAAAATAGGTTGCTTCTCCTTCCTGCTCCTCAACTTCCTATGAAATATGCTCAATTCCATGGAAAATGTTAAGGGGCTGGGACAGAAGATATCCAGGCATGGAATAACTGAGGCTCTGCAAGGGAAAAGCACGTAGCAACATGAACACGAGCACTGATTAGAATCCTACAGAGCTGGAAAGGGATGGGCAGGGGAAATGACATTAACTAAATATTTACTATGTTCCCGATGCTGTTTCAGACACATTACCTCATTTCAGAGGCCCAAGACATGTGATTAAGTCCTTTTATAAATAGGACAGTTCAGTATTATTAAATTTCCATTTTAGAGACAAAGAACCTAAGGATGGAAGAAACATTTTAATCACTTATCTGAAAGTGAATCACTCATTCATATATTAATTCATACAACGAATATCCTGCTAATTCTTTACCTTGTGCAAGACACTGAGAATAGAGGCACAAAAACAGTTCAGAAATAATAGCACAAGGTGCTAAGGTGAGCGAGCAGGCTGGGCCTGGACTCCGTCTCTCCTGGCTTGGTCTACTTGTTCCAGGCCTGGTGGTCTCCAGTGGCCTTCAGAGCTGTTGCTGCCCCATGGTTAGAGCTGTGTATGGTGCTAGGCCCTTACCTGTCAGAGAGGAGCAGGTGGAGTCTGGAGAGGAGCCTGGAACTTCCTTAAGGGTGAAGTTCCTCAAATCGTATCACATCCTGCCACCTACCTTGGGGTGTAGCTATTGTTTTCCCAGGCAGGCCAGCAACAGGACTGGTTTTAGATCCCAGTTCAGCACCCCATCACCACTCTCCCCTTTCGGGGGCTTAAAAGGGGGTGCTCAGGGGCTATTCGTGGCACTGTGCTTGGGAGTGATCCCTGGCGGTGCTTGGGGGTACCATTTGTGGTGTGCAGGGGGGAACCAGTGTCCCTGCCTCTTAGCTCCTGTACTATCTTTCCCTCCCACCCATTGCTTTGCAGCCCAGCCCCCTGGATGACTTCACTGGCAGGTGCAAAGCTCAGGAGCCAGCGCTAAAAGTCATTTGCAAATTATCCTGGGGGCAGGTTCTGACTCCTGCTACCAAGATTTATTTTAATTTTCCTGGCTCAGATCACACAGAAGATGACATCCCCTCCATAAAAGATTCAGGAGGGGGTGGGGGTGGGTGAATGTTCTCTGTGCTCTGCAACAGCCTCCTTTGCTGTGTTTGTGTCTGAAAGAGGACTCGTCTGACAGGAAGAATTACAAATCTGGAGCTCATTTTGGCCTCCCAGAGGGAAGGTGGGTGGAGCGTCTCACAGTAAATCAGGGATTCAGAATGAAAACGCAGCCGAGTTTATTTGGGTTTCTAGTGACACCTCGGAATGACTGTGTGGGCGTGTCGGAAGCAACTTAAAAGTTAAAACTGCTCCCCCTCTGCCCCAGAGGTAGTGCTTGCGGAAATTGGGGGGCGGGGCGGGGATCCTTTGCCGTTGGGGTGGCGATGGGGACCTTCCTTCTTTTCCACCTGCATCAGGTGGAAAGTCAAGAGGCCAAGAGGGAAAGTGAGTGGGTCGGAGCCAGCTCCGAACTGGGTCAGCTCAGAGAGTGTGGAATGAGGTGGGAAGCTATTTGGGGGTGGGGGTGGGGGGGCGTGTCTGAGCTCCGGGAGCTGAAGCTTCCATCCGAGACTTCGACGCGGGTGAACCTAGAAGTAATAAGAGATTTAAATTTATTTTTTAAATTTCGTCAGCTTCGGGGTGACACCCGGTGATGCTCAGGGGTTACTCCCGGCTCTGTCCTCTGGGATCCCTCCTGGCGGCGGGGCTGCAGGGGGCCCTCTGGGGTGCCGGGGATTGAACCCGGGTGGACCACATTCAAGGTAAGCGCCCTGCCCGTCGTACTGCAGCTGCCGTCCAATGGGAGCTATATTTGGGGGAGTCGAGGGGACGGGGGAGGTGGTGAAAGGGTCGAGTGGACGCTGGCAGTGAGGCGGGAAGGAGACCCGGTCGTAGGTGACAAGGTCAGTCGGGAAGGAGCCTGGGAAGAAGTTGGGGCGTGGTGGGTCTGAAGCAAGCCCGAAGAAGACTGCGGATCTGCGCGCATCTGGGGGCACGCGGAGTGCCGAGCTGTGGCTGGGGGACGTAGCGGGGCTGTCGGGGTGGCAACTCGAGTGAGTGCCCGATCTGGGATGCCGGGGGAAGGGAGAGTCGAGCGGGCCTCCGTCTCTCTGATCGACAGCTCCTCGCACGCCGGGCCGCCGAGAGCTCAGCCCCGGGGCAGACGGCTCCGCTAGACTGGGACTGTCTGCACCCCGCCCAGCCCCGGTCAACATCGCGCCTGGAGCCGCCGCTCTTAAGCGCGGGTGGTGGTTTGGCTGCGCAGGGCTCCCGGGAGTTGAGGGGGCGTGGCCAGCGGCCCGCCGGCCCGGGCTTGGGATTGGCTGGTCCGGGAGCCCGCGGGCGGGGCTCCGGGCTGGGTCCCACTCGGCCGCGGGCAGACGGGCCGGGAGGCGGGGCCGGCGGGAGCCCGGCAGCCAATGGGCGCGCGGCCCCGGAGCCGATACAAAGGGCCGGAGCGAGGCCGCGGCGGCGGCGGCGGCGGCGGGGGAGGTGGGGCGAGGCGAGGCTTGCTGAGGCGAGGCGGCGGCCGGGCCGGGCCCGGGCCACAGGCGTCGGCGGCGGAGGCGGCGGCGGCGGCGGCGGGGCGCGGCGGCACCATGGAGGCGGCGGCCGCGGCTCCGCGTCCGGGGCTGCTGCGGCTGCTCCTCCTCGTGCTGGCGACGGCGGCGACGCTGGTCCCGGGAGCCGCGGGTGAGCGGGCGGCTGTGGGGCGCGCGGGCCGGGCCCGGCCTCTGGCTCGTTCCTTCTCTTTCTCAAACATGGCGCGGGGCCGGGGGCGCAGGTGGCGGCGGCGGCGGCCGCGGGGCCGGGCCGGGGCCGCGCGAGCCCTCGGCGGCGGAGAGCGCGATTCGGGCCGGGGGTCGGCGGAGCGGGTGTGTGTGTGTGTGTGTGTGTGTGTGTGTGTGTGTGTCTCGGGGCGCGGGGGGACGCGCGCGGCCGCGCCGGGCTGGGGTCTGGCGGGAGGCGGGCCGGCCGAGTGGCCCCGAGTCGGGGGCTGCTCCCTGAGGAGCCCGTGAGCGCGAGCCGCGCGCGCTCCCCGCCCGCCCGCCCGGCCGCGGGTGTGGGTCTGAGGGGGAGGCCGCTCGCCGCCTGGCCGACTCGGCGCCTGGGGCGGGGCGGGGGTCCCGCAGGGTCCCCCGCGGGGCCGGCCCGGGGCCGAGGGCGGGGGGCACTCTGGGGAGGGCCGCCGCGGCGAGCGCTTTGTGTGCGGCGCCCGGGGCGTGAAGCGGGGCGGGAGGTCGCGGCTCGGCGGGCGTCGGCGGAGCGCCCGGAAGGCTGCGGCGTGCTTTCCCCCACCCGGAGTAGAAAACTTAGCAGTTCTTCTTCGTCTTCTTCTTCTTTCTTTTTCCCTTTTTTCCTCCTTTCTCGCCGCGCGGGGCCCCGCGTTGTTTGCATGGGGCGGCTGGCGGGGTGGGCGGGCGGGCGGGCGGGCGGGCCCCCTCGGCGGTTCCATCGATCCCCAGCAGCTTTTATTTCCGCACCGGCGGCGATCGGTCTCTGGAGGGACACTAGTTTGAATCGGTGGTTTTGTGGAGCGGCTTCTTCCAGCTCGGGAGTGAGTGTGTGTGTGTGTGTGTGTGTGTGTGTGTGTGTGTGTGTGAGTGAAGGGGTGGGCATGGGGGGACGTGTGCTCCGTGTTTTACCGAAATACATTTTTTTTATTACGTGGGCGGAGGAGGGAGGCTCCTAGGAAAGGGGACTGAAGAGCTTTGTTCGCGAGCATCCCGACTTAAACCGTTAGAGTCCATCGCACGCGACATTTGTTTCTGAAGTTGAACAGCACGTGTGTATTTTTTTTTTTTAACAAAAACCCACTCCGGATGAAGGGTGCCCGTTATTACTAAGAGCTTCTGTTTATTAAGAACTTAACACGACCTAGGCGCGTGAGGGCAACCAAAAGACAGGAGTTTAATCTGTCTTCTACCTTCTCCCCGAGGCAGACAGCTTCTACCTCAGAAGCCTTCAGTCAGATCTAGCGTTGTCCCATTGCATAGATGAGAAAACTGAGGCGAGTGGGAGGAGGAGGAGGGTTGTATCCCGTTCTGTGAGATGCCATTAGGATTTGCACCCAGGGCTGTTTCTCCAACTTCTCCGCAACAGATTTCCTGGCAGCGCCCACTTTTCTTTGTCATCCTTTGTGATAAACAGTTCAGCTGTGCTGTTTACTTTTAGATTTTTATCCTCATTTGTAAGTCAGATGCTCTTATCCTCCATGGTCCCCAGGAGTCCCTGCCCTCATACCCAACACAGGAGCATTGGCTTAAGGAGGGGGTGTGCTGCAAGTGTAGAAAGGTCCAGGGACTGGCATGGTTCAGTAGCAAGTAGGAATAGCACCAACTCAAAGGCCACTAATTCCTCGGATAGCTTAGTCCATTCTTTCCCCCTCTCCTGACAGAGTTGTACTGCATTCAACAGTGTTGGGCTTCAGGGATGCCCAGAACTTTGCTCAGTGATGCCCTGGAGGTGTTTGCCGCCTGCATTCGCATTCATGGGGCCGTCCAGATGTCCACACTTGGTCTGCCTTGCCTGCATTGCTTAACTTGATGATTTCAGTCCATCCTGTTGTGCATCCTAAAGCAGCTTTTCAATACTTACGCATTGTCCTCCTCTTTATGAGCTTTCAATTGTTTCCTATTGTCTGGATGTAAGTTGCTTAGTCCTCTGATTTCTCTAGAGCAATCACACACAGCTCTGTACCGGGTTTTCTATATGTGCAGCCCATGTGAGATTATTGTGTGTGTCCTTTCTGCCATTTCACAACTTTTTTTTTTCCTTTAAAAACATGCCTAACAACCAGCTCTTTAGAATGAGCATCTCCTCTTTGAAGACAGCGTCCAGTTTAATCCTGCCTATTATTCCTCAGATCTACCCCGTTCCCAGAGCTTCTCTCTCCCTTGGAGACTTTTCTATAGGCTACTGCGTGGCCAATCTGCCTCAGCCTTCCCCAGAGAGGGTTTACAAGATTTCCCATTTGTATTCAGCTTGTAGACTTGGAGCTTATGATTAGGGCCATCTCTTGAGTATTCAACTCTGGATCTCACTTGCCCCTAATGCAGACACTCAGTCCCTCTCTGGTTTCCCATGGAGTCCAGACTTCAGCTTGTTCACTTTGTTCACTGCTTATTTAATTTTGTCCCTTTTGAGATCAAGTGTGAGGAGAGGAATTCCCATCCTGGCCTTTCTGTACTGTTTGTACAGAACTTCTCCTCTCCCCCCCCCCCCCCCACACGCACATACACACAATGGTATAGCATAGCTTGTGTTGTCTCTTTTTACGGTTTTGCACTGTTTAATGTGCTACCCTCTTGAACATGTTTTAAGTGCCAAGAGGGCAAGGAGCATGCCTTTTCTTTTGCTCTGAGTTCCTAGCTCTTTTATATTTTGTTCCAGTTAAATGCCTGCTGATTAACTAATTCCATTAATTTGGCTTAATGGTCTTTTTTTTAAAAGTATTTATACTGCTTCATATTATAGTATACTTTATATAACAACTAATGGATAATTCTTTATAATCAGGAAAAGTATGAAGCGATGAAAGAAGGAGCTGGTTATTAGAGTTGGTTATTAGTCTCAACTTCGTCTCTACTTAGGCAGAAAATCGGGATGATACTTACTTTGCTTAAATTACAGATTGTGGAGATCAATGAGAATATTGCATTGGAGTGTGAGGGTGCTATTTGGTGTTGTTAGTAATAGGTAGAATTGTTCAGTTGCAGGCCTATTGATCCATGTGTGTTTTGATTGGTCAGATATCTTTTTGATTACTTGGTACCATTGTAATGCCAGTTGTTAAATATTTTTAATGTCAGCCCTGCGTAGAGGCCTCAGTGTCCAAAGAGGGAAATAGTATGATTTGAGGGCAGATGTTGGCATGTTGGAGGTTTTTAAGATTATTTAGGACTTAAATTTGTTTTTGAAAAATAGCTAGAATTCTGATGGGCATAGTTGGGGTTCAGTGAAGCCTAAATTCTCTTTATAAGCTGTGTCTTCCTACTTAAACTGACCTAAAGGACTAAGATTTTTTTAAAGACTTTATTTAAAAACTATTTATTTTTGGCTTTGGGTCATATCTGGCTGTGTTCAGGGCTAACTCCTGGTTCTGCTCAGAGATCATTCCTGGTGGTGCTCAGAGGACCATCTGCAGTGCAGCGATTGAAGCAGGGTTTGCCATGAGCATGGTTAGCACCTTAACCGCTGTACTAACTCTTCAGCCTAGAACTAAAACTTTAATCAATTGGCTGGCAATTTGTACTTTACCGTTAGGTTCCTTTGTTCTATATTGTGAAATTTGATGTATTAACTGCTATTATTTCTCCTTCCCCAGCTCTATAAATGCTACAATATATGTGTGTGGAGACTAAATAGGTAATTTAAGTCAAATGGAGAGAGATTAATTGGCATGCCTATTAGGACCATGCATTCTAATAGTGAAAGCCTTAATCCTTTTTAGTTTATACATGTACAAAACCGAGACTCAGAGAAGAGGGGGATTTTTTTAGGATTGAACAGGACTGAGATGGGATCTCTCCTGTTGAAATTAAATGAGGAAACTGATTTAATAATCAGTAGGAAGGTAAAGATTGTTCATATGGGGAGAACCATTCATTGTTGAAAGAGTGGAGGCCTGGCTAAAATAGATACCCAAATGCAGTACCATACTTGTAGTATTGCATGAGATTTGTTCATGTCTTGTGAAGGAAAAAGCACCAGTGTCCTATGATGGCTTTACTGATGTGAGAATGTGTCTCTTCAGTACCTTCTGCAGATGTTGACAGACTCTTTGCCTGTTGTTGGGCTTTCTTGGTCATGGATTACATAATCAACGTTCTCTGAACAGATGGAGTGTGATTTGATAATCATGTGATTGGGTCCATCTTCACTTCCTGCTTCTGGAATTGAGGGCAGATGTTGGCATGTTTCTCAAGAATTTATATGCTTTGCTCCAAAGAAGTGGCTCAGGAAAACTTGCAATCTTTTCAGAATTTATGGTCTATTTTGATCAATGCCTAGGGCAATATTTAATGATTTTTCTTCACAAAATTCACCCAATATCAATCCAAACAGTCTCCACAAATATTAAGGCTTGCTGCTGTTCTAAATTGGATTCAGTTTTACCCATGCAGCTTTGACCTAGATAATACAAAGGGGTTTCTTCTGGTTACTTTTTCTGGTAGAAGTTTATGATTGACTCACACAGGTTTTTGTGTTTTGGTTTTTTTTCCCCCCTTAGATCCGAGTTCCCAAACTTACTTGGACTACTGCTCCCAATTCGGTGGGGGGTGGGGGAAGATTATTCAGTGCCCTCCTGAAATCTGCCTTCTTTAAGGAAACAAACAGCAAACAGAACTCTCTCCCCTGTGCTCTCCCGGCTCCCCCAAACATACAATTTCACCTAACCTGCTACTGCTGTTTCAACCTGGATAACCACAGTGACCCCAGAGGACAGTATGCCTCACTTTGGAAAACATTGCCTTAGACAAACTCTTAAATAAGACTGATGGGTTTTGTTTGTCCATTGTTGTTTGATTATTAGGCCACACCTAGTGCTGCTCAGGAACTATTCCTGGCTCTGTGCTTGGGATGACCCGTAGTGGTACTGGGGGGACCATATTCAGTGCCACGGATCAAACCAAGGCCAGCTCCATGCAAGGCCAGCACCTTTACCCCAGAGCTGTCTCTTCGCCCAGCTC